CATCCCACCTCCTCCACCCTTCCTCCACCTCCCACTCATCCTCCTCCCCCTGCCCCCCCCTGGTTTTCATCTTCGTCGTTCTCAGGGTCGGCGGCACCGGCCGTAAGGCCTTTGCAAGAATGACGTGGACGCCCAGAGAGACTGCGTGGAAGGTTTTGCATGGTCCCCCTCCGAGCGAACTGCACAGCTGACTGCATTCGTGCACTCAAAAGTTCCACACATGGAACACTGGTACGACACAACTGGAGGACGGACCTGGTGAGCTGAGTAATTACGGAGCGTCCCTGGAGGGGCCCAAGACGGCCCTAGACTGCCCCAGGCGGCCCAAGAAGGCCCGAACAGGTCCCGAGGAGTGGACCCAGGATCCAAGACGATCAAAGCGGGCCAAAACCGCCACAAGGTGGCCGCAAGATGGGGCCACGGGCCCCCTCGACGCCCATGGGGGGCCCGACGAGAGCCAAGAGGCGAACATGACTTGACTCTGCGTTTGTATGACTCTGACATGCTCGCCCTCTGCGTCCTCGGCGCCCCCACGATGGCCCAAGAGGCCCCCACGCTCACCCCAACATAACCTGCAAGGGCGCCTCGGAGGCCCAAGAGGGGCACAGGAGAGGACCAAGAAAGCCTCCGAACGCTCTGCGAGGGCCCCACCGATGCCCCCCAAACCACCGACGACAACCCCAACACTACTGTCGAAGCGTGGCTACAAGAACGCAGCGGCGGCCCCGGTTCCCGACAATCTGTGCTGCGCGGCGACGGAGGGGGCGAAGGGAACGAGAGGCAAGCTGACGACGGCGAACGCGCAGGCGGGAGACGAGGGCAGGAGGGACGAAGCAGGCGGGCGGGTAGGCGGGAAGGGACAGCGAAGGGAGCATCGGGGGGTACGTCTCGGTGGGGTAGGGGCTGAAGTGGGGTTGGAACAGAATCGCTCTAGGCGGCCCCTGGAAAGAGGGAAAATGCGGGCACCCATCTGGGTTCGCTCCAGAACTCCACCTTTGGATAACCCCCCCTCTGCGATACCCCGACCCAAACAATCGACGAGAAGCAAGCTGACGACGGCGAACGCGCAGGCGGGAGGCCAGGGCCGGCGGGACGAAGCAGGCGGGCGGGTATAGGCGGGAAGGGGCAAAGGGAGCATCTGGGGTGCGTCTTGGTGGGGGACAGGTGCCGAAGTACGGGTGGAGCAGAATCGCCGCTCCAAGCGGCCCCTGGAAAGAGGGAAAAAGCGGGCACCCACCTGGCTGCGCTCTGGAACCCCGCCTTTGAATCTTATAGGAGAACAAAAAGTGGCATAACATAAAAACTCTGAGGTCCGCGCGGGTTTCTCGGATCGGCGCTGGACCCCCCTCCCTGGCGCGCAGAGCGCGCCAGGGGCGGCGCCGGAGGCGCCGCCAGGGGGGTCCAGCGCCGATCCGAGAAATCCGCGCGGACCTCAGAGTTTTTATGTTTACGTTATTTTTTGTTCCCCTATCAGATTCAAAGGTGGAGTTCCAGAGCGAATCCAGATGGGTCACTTTTTGTTCCCCTATACTAACCCCCCCTTTGCGATGCCCCGACCCGAGCAGCCGACGAGAAGCAGACGACGGCGCGAACGGCGCGGGCGGGAGGCCGGGGCCGGCGGGGGACGAAGAGCAGGCGGGCGGGAATGGGCGGGAAGGGACCCTGGGGTCCTGCGGCAGCGCTGCCGTTTTTCCCGCTGACTGGGGCCCCGGGCCCTGGAGCCGTCGGGCACGAGCTGGGAGTGGGAGAGGCTCGTGGCCCACGGGACGCGCGAAGACATACTGGCAATTACTAGTATTGAAGGGGCCCCAGGACACACAGATCAATACACACAGATCAAAGGTTTCCCCATCTTTTCCCAGATTTTCTGGGTTTCTGTCTTCCCCGCCCACTTCCCATCTTTTCCCATATTTTCCTGGGGATCGAAGATTAATTTGTGTCTGTGTGTATTTTCCCCTCCTGAAAAGACTCCTGGTCCATGGGACGCGCAAAGACATACTGGAAATTACTAGTATCCTCCTTGGAGAGGCGCGCGCGCCCGACCCGAACAGTACCGTATACCCATCTTGTAGCGCATCGTTTCCCGAGCGGCGTGGCCAGGAAGCGCCCGCCGCGACGCAGATGTTATACAGTCGGGGAGTTGACCTAAGGAACGATAAATCAGGAACGAGGCCCCTTTTTCCCATAAATTAAACTCCGATGTTCCATGGAAAACCTCAGGAACACCCAAGGAGCACTGTAAAGCAACTAAGGAACACGGAGCCCCTCCCGAACAAAAAGGGTTCCTTCTTCAGGGCCCCGACTGTAAGGTCTCTCGGTGCGAACGTCGCCCCATGGGGGGCGACGCACACGTAGCAATGATGTGTTGGGAGGGGCGCCGGGCCCAGGATCCGTTGCCCTCCGACCCCCTGTTCCCCATGACTAAAGGAGCCCCAAGACAAACAAATAAATACACACAAATAAAAAGATTCCCCATATTTTCACATATTTTCTGGGTTTTTGTCTTCCCCCCCACTTCCCATATTTTCCTATATTTTCCTGGGGATCGTCGATTAATTGTGTCTGTGTGTTGTTTCTCCTCCTGAATGACAGCGGCAGCAGGGGGACAGGGGGCTCTCTCCGCGTCCTCACGGCCGCATCCGGCGCGGAGCCCTGGCCAGAACTAGGGGGTCCACACGCGAACCCTACCCCTACCCCCCACGACTTCTGAGGGGGAGCGTGGGGTTCACTTCGCCTGGGAGCTCCCGAGCGAAGTGAGCCCCACCCTCCCCCTCAGAAATCGTGGGGGGTAGGGGCAGGGTTCGCGTGTGGCCCCCTGAGAACGCGCTGCCGGAGGACTTCGCACCAAGCCGCCCCCACACCCAGCCCGAAGTCGCCGCGGGGCCTGCCAATCTCTCGGGGGGGGGGGCGTCCCAGATCATCAGAAGAGCACCATATGCAGCCCGTATACACCCCCCAAAGCGAGATTCCCGGGGAGGAAAAAGGGGCCTGCGGGTCAGGCTGGCCCGGTGTGGTGGGGCCTCCAGGCCGCCCCGAAGACTGGGGAGAGCAAAAAGGTACCGCTGCCGCTGCTCCCTGCCCCCCTCCCGGGGTGCCTTCTGACGAGGGTCTCCGGGCGAATCCAGCTGTAGTGGCGAGGGCCTCCCAGGAGGCCCAACTGGGGGAAAACGAGCGAGCCCAGGGGGAAATAGGGAAGGGGCGGGCCTTCTCAGAAGGCTCGGAAGTCCCCCGGCCTTGTGGGAAATGTTCGACGACTTCCCCGAAGGCACAGAAAATCTCTCAGAAGGCTGGAGGGCTTCTGAGAAGTCCCGCCGCCTCATGAGAGGGCCATCTCACTCTCGGACGCCTGCTGGGTTTGGGGTCATAACTCGGCTCTCCAGTGGCCGTTCGGGACGATCCGAGCATCCCCAGAACGACCTCGGCGAGGCGCAGCCGCTGGAACGCACCCCGAGGCTGGGAAACCGCCGAGAACCGACGAAAAGACCTGGCACCTCGAGCCGGAAAGTTCCCCCTGGACCCTCCTCGCTTCCCCCCCTCGCTCAAGGCCGAGTAGTGGCGCGAACACCTCTCCCTCCTCCGCGGAGCGGCGCAGCCCGAGATGCGAGGCGGGGATTTATCCATATCCACCGCCCGGGAACCTACGTCCTGGTGCCCCAGCGGGCGGTGGATATGGATACATATTTATATACTGTTTTACGGAGGCGTACGTCCACGCCAGTGGTCAAGTTAGCCCGACACGTGACCTTTACTTTCAGGACCTTGCACACCGCCCCCCAGCACACTGGCCGAAGGTTCCACTGCGCCCACAGCCCGCGGGGCCGCTCGGGACCCACAAACGCGGGCCCGAATCACGGAGGGACAGGCCAGCACCGAGACACGGTGCACCTCCGAACAGGACGGGCAGCCAAGGGACCTCCCGAGGTCCCGAGGCACCCATCCCGTGGGAGGCCGACCACAGGTCCCACACAGACACCCTCGGCCACGCGCTGGAACGTGCGGCACCAGAAAGGCACACCCTGAAGGTCACCAGCTAACTCCTTGGGCTAGGGCACCAATCTGGAGTAGCTGGGGGCATCTATACAGAACTGTCTCCTCGTTCAGGGGCCGCGACGCGGCCCTGGACTACAGGGAGGTAGCGGGTGGGAGCCTTGGAAAGAGGCTACGGAAGGAGACGGCGTTCAACGATGCCCCCAAACAGTATTGCCTTACACAAGCGTAAACGGTCATACTGTTTTACGGAGGCGTACGTCCACGCCAGTGGTCAAGTTAGCCCGACACGTGACCTTTACTTTCAGGACCTTGCACACCGCCCCCCAGCACACTGGCCGAAGGTTCCACTGCGCCCACAGCCCGCGGGGCCGCTCGGGACCCACAAACGCGGGCCCGAATCACGGAGGGACAGGCCAGCACCGAGACACGGTGCACCTCCGAACAGGACGGGCAGCCAAGGGACCTCCCGAGGTCCCGAGGCACCCATCCCGTGGGAGGCCGACCACAGGTCCCACACAGACACCCTCGGCCACGCGCTGGAACGTGCGGCACCAGAAAGGCACACCCTGAAGGTCACCAGCTAACTCCCCACATCTCCAACCTTGGCGCCCACGCCGTCTAAGAGAAACTATTCTAAAAACTCTACAATCGTGAGGCTAACTTCCAGTCCCGCCTAGACTTAGGCATGGAAAGTCAGCGAAGCTGAGATATATGTACACACAACCATGCAATGGGCACAAAGAGGGACGGCTGGATAGGGAATAGAAGATGCACATTCAACGCTCACAAACTGACAAATTCACGGAGAATCTCGAGCCCGCATTGAACATTTGAACACTGTTCATCTTGCGGCCTGACCTTCACTAGGTCAGCAACTGCATCTTCAATATAAATTCTCGCAGTCAAAGTGCTGGCCCAGCGGCCTTTGACGAGCGTCTGCTCCATCGAGCTGGAGCGGCAAAAAAAATCACTTGCTCCGCCTCGTCGGCAACTGTGCCAGCTGAAAAGGCCTCGAAAGCCGAGCGCTTCGGCCAAGCGCTGCAATCCTGCCCTCAGCTGGTTCGGCGACCTGGGCGAAAGCCTGTCTGCAGGCGCGAGATTGGCCACGACCAGCCGCAGCAGCCGCACGCAGGCCTTAGATCGCACCACCACGGCCTCAGCTGCATCCTTGCCCGCCGTGGTCTTACTGCTGCCAATGCGGATGACCATACACGATCCACGATCATGAACGTCGCCTGCAGTGAGGCTGAAAGCTTCCCCTCCTCGCAGCATCGCTTCAAAGCTGACGAGAAGAAGGCAGGCGAAGTCGAAGGCGCCTGCTGCGATGGCGTAGCCCGCCATGCCGCCGGCCAGCTCCGCGGTCAGCGGGAGCACGCGCGCCGCTGGCTCTTGGCGGCGCCACGTCCGCAGCAGTGACCAGGACAAGTCGAGCTTCCTGCGCAAAGACGGGCAGAAGAAGGCCACACCCGCGATGGTGTTGCTCGCAGCCGCAATGCCAGCGCCCTCGGCCCAGAGCTTCTCGAGGAAGCCAGCGACCAAGCCGTCTGCATCGTCCATGGCCAGTGCGAGCGCGGGCGCGCCACTCTCCTCAGCGCCGTAGTAGTGCAAGAGCCTGCGGACCGCAACGGCGTACCGCCTGCGGGTCGCCACCCCGACGCGGAGCGACGAGAGGGTGTGGGCGCGCGGGTCACGCCGCCTCACAGGCGGCCTGCACGGGCGGCCTTGCGCACCAAGGGCGCGCGACTGCCGCGCCCCCTGAGCCGCGAGCCACGCCACAGCTTTCTCGATGGCTCGTCGGCCGGATTGTTCTCTGACACGATGTACCCGATCAGCGGGTACATGTCGGCCGCGACCGCGACCGCTGCCCAGCGCCGGAGCATCGGCTGCAAGCGAGCGCTGCTGCTCCGGCCCTTCGTGATGATGGCCGCGACGACCTGGCTGTCCACGAGGTGGAGCCAGCGGCTGCAGTGGCGGCGAGCGGCACGAGCCCGCCACCGAAGCGCCGCGAGCGCGGCCTGCAGCTCCCTGACGTTGATGTGCGCCTGCTGCCGCTTGGGCCAAGCTATACTCAGCACGACTCGCCACTTCCACACGAACGGGTCCAGCGACGATCTGGGCCACCCCTTCGGTCGGTACGGCAGGTTCACGTCGAGACGCACATCGCTCCCGCCCTTCTCGGACCTGGCCAGGTAGCTGAGGAGCAAGAGACGGCTGGCTTCGGTCTCTGGCTCCCCCGCGTCGCTCTCGAAGCGGCCCGCTTCGTCCCACGACGGCGTGCATTCGCCGACGTGCCCAAGCTCCTGCATGGACAGTGGGCGCGTCACAGCCCCCAGGTTCAGCAAGAGCCACTGCAGCAGCCAAGCGACCGAGAACACATTGAAGCTGTTGCCCAGTAGGAAGGACCTGGCGTCGTCGCTATCCTGCTGGTTCGAGCCCTTCGTGGCTACAGCCGTGTAACGCACGTCGAATCCCATCATCCTCTCCCGCTCGGAGCTCGAAGGGACTCGCAAGGATCCGTCGCTGTCCTGCAAGAGGTTTTTCTCTTCGTAGAGCGCAACATGGTAGCGATACGAATCCGACTGCCAGCGAGCGAGCGCCTCGGGCGAAGCACTCTTCACCCCGCGCGGCGCTGAAGGGTAGCCCCGCTGAGGCCTGCTGCACACGAGGGTGGGGTAAGGCCCAGGCTCGCCCAGCCAGCGCGCGCCAGGATCCCGCCAATCGAAATTCAACAGGGGCGGCTCATTGCAGCTGACCACAAACATATCCTCGCGCTCCTGGAGGACCAGCGGCGGGGTCGGGTGGACGCTCCAGCTCAGCCAATACAGCCGCGGCCTCCTGCAGGGCACCAGGGCCGAGGTGCACAGAAACACGGGCTTGACGCCGAGCGCCTGGCTCATGCCACGCAGGCTGCTGGACGTCATGCCCGCGACGTTCTCCACGAACCACCTGAAACTCGCCCCGAAAGCGTCTGACAGCAGCCCGAAGATGCGCGGCACCTCGAAGAAGACCGAAGACTTCGGGTCGGCCAGGCCTCGCCCAGCAGCGTTTAGCCCCGTGAGCCCCTGGCACGGGCTGCCTGCGCCCGCGACCACAAGGTCGATCTCGGACTGGTAGGCGATCCTCAAGTCCTCCACCGTCTGGGCGGTCACGGTCCTGACGTCGCCCCAGTCGATGGCGCCTGGCCACCTGAGCCGTACGACCCTCCTGGCCTTGGCGTCTGTCTCGGCGCTCACGTACCCGACGATGCGCACGGGCAGGCGCGAGAGCGCGACCGCCAACCCGCCGATGCCGTCGAACAGCCCGACGCAGAGGACTCTGAGGATTCGGGCGACGATGGCCCGCGGGATCCGCGGGTTGCTGCGAGTCCAGGGCGCCCGCGGATCGACTGGCAGGCCGAGGACCCTCGCCCCAGCGCCCAGCTGAGCGCCAGGCTCGCCGGCGGCGAGGATAGTCGCCTCCGCCTGCTCGTGGAGGCCCGTCGACACGCAGACTCCCCCCCCGAACTCGGACGCGTCTGAACACGACGCCATCCCTTCGAGGCGGCTCCTCAACGAAGTAGCTGCGAGCGGGACCACGAGGAGCGCCGTCATCAGCTCCTCCCTCATCTCCCGCGTCAGGTAGACCTTCGCCCGCGGCTCCGAAAGCTTCCACACTGCATTCAAGATGCTGAGCAAGGGCCGCCGAAACTCGAAGACCCTGACAATGCGGCCGAGCACAGTCATGGCCAGCCTCCACGGGACCAAGTCCAGGCCGAGCGTCGCGATGGCGAGACCGCAGGCGGACAACGCCTTGCTGAGGGGGGCGCCGATCCGCCCCGTGACGCCGTCAACGGAAGCCCCCATCCTCTCAACGCGAAGCTGGCGGAGGTGCGCCTTGTCGGAGGAGATCGCCACCTGCGCACGCTCGTAGCTGGCACGGGCCGCGGCCTGCAACTCTGCTTGGCTACCAAGAAGCTCTAGCGCCGCGGCCTCCTCGATGATCTCGGGGGCGTCGAAGTCGTCGATGTATACCTGCCACCAAGATGCAAGGACGGGACCCTGCTTAGCAAAAGCGAGCGGCCGCACCGTGTCCTTCCGCCATTCTGCCTCTGGCGGTAGGCCCGCTCCAAGCGGGGGAGGAAGCCGACACAATCGCCGATGTATGTGCTGGAACAGCGGCACGGCGAGCATCCAACCCATCGAGATGACCGCTGAGGCGACGAAGACCCGCGGCGCCGCGCGCCCAAACAGGTCGCCGCGCAGCGCCTTGCCCACCGCCATGTGAGCATGCCAGCAGCGCGGGATCCGCCACACAAAGAAGGCCCCCTTCTGGTCATCGCCAGACCACAGCAGCAGGGAGCCCTCGGGCAGGTGAAGGGTCGTCCAGCCCGTCGACGCCGCGAGTGTAGACGCCTCACCGACGAACGGCTTGAGGAGCGAGTTGCCTGGGACCATGTTCAGGATGAGCCTGGTGACCCGCTCGGCCCCTGGCCCAGGCGCTCCCTTCTTCTCGACTGCGAAGAGGCCGTTGAGGAGCGGAGCGCCCCGCACCTGAAACACCTCATGCGGCTCAAGCACCGTAAAGATGCCCAACTTCACCAAGTGCACCGCGAGGGCCTCTCCCAGTCGCTGTCAGAGGTGACGTTGACCCGCGCCCTCGGGAGCGGGCTGGGCCACTCGGCCTCCGGCTTCAGCGCCACCGAGGGGTCGTTCAGCCAGGCGCCAATGTCCGCATCCACGAACTCGCACGCGCCCAAGGCGCCTGCGTGCTCGGGCTGCGGCAAGCCCGGCTTCAGCTCCGCGAGCACGCACGGGAGTGCCTTGACCGCGGGCTCCCCGCTGTAGTCGATGGCAGCGTGCTGGAGGGCGGACGACAGCGCGGGCACCTCCACGCTCGCGAAGGGGTCCTCCGCAAAGACCTCAGCCCGCGACAGGAGGTGCGCCATGGCCTGCCGCTGCGCCAGCGTGAGGGACCCCTCGTGCTGCCAGGTGGCGGTCGCCCGCCCGCAGTACATGCGGTTCAGGCCAAGCACCTCCATGTAAAGCCAGCACTCCATCATGACGGACCTGGCCACTCCTGCGAGACGGCACCTGCTGCTGCGAGGGCCGCATCGGCTGCGAATCCATCGCCTCGCCAGGGAGAGAGAGGGCAGGGGCAGCGGGAGGACGTCACGTCCCCGCACCCCGCTCCCCCGCCTTGTGGACGTACGCATCGTGAACTCCCTGGCGAAGGCGCCCAGACCCCCAGGGTCCGTGATGGTAAGGCCCAGCAGGGTGACCGACAAGTCCACGGCAGTGAGGTTCGACCCAAAGCCGACCGTGACCACGCGCTGCCAGTCATGGAAGTCCGAAGCGGTGAACGAGTCCTCGCCCGCTGAGGAATCCGACCAAAGCTCGGCAACAGAGAACTGTCCCCCCCGCGGCGTCGCCTCATCCCGCGCCAGGGCTCCTGCCGCCTCTGCCTCGCCGCAGGACCAGCGCCCAGCAACACCCCCAGGCCCAGCGCGCAGCAACTCGCTGGCGCTCGGGGGGCCTGGAGGGACCTCGGCCGCGCCGACTAGGCCATCGGCCGCTGCGCCGCCCCCAGAGGCGCCCGCGCAGGCCAGGCGCCCCCCAAGAGCGCCTGCTGCGGGCAGCGAGGCGACCGCTACCGCAGCGTCGGCACCAGGCTCCGCAGGCGGGCATCGTACGCCTTCACCGTCTCGCCAGCCTTCTTCGGGTACTTCGCCTTGGCGTCCTTCCAGGGCCGCGCCAACACGACCGCACGGGCTGGGGCTGCCGACCTGTCCGCCAGCATGCGGTCGGCCTCCGCGGAGCCCGCGGCCGCTGGCTGCCTCTGCGCCGGGGCCTGCGCTGCGGCAGGGGGTATCCCCCCTGCATGGCCTGCAGGGCGAGTGGGCAACGCCGAACCCACCTCGCCCCGGCCGACCTGCTAGCCCTGAGGCTTCTGCCGCAGCCGCGAGGCGAGCTCCTCCAGCTTGAGCTCCCCGTGCTGGATGCTCCTGATCATCTCCTCCTCCTCGTTGCGTAGC